AACAGAAGCTGACAGGGGAGCAGGCAGCAGCGACGCCGACCAAGGAGCAGTCGGCGACCGGGCAGTCGACAGGGGAGCCGACCACAGGGGAGCGGTTGGCTGGGACGCCGGCTGAGGTGCAGCAGGACGCCGAGGACAGCGACGATGGAGGGGACGCCGAGGAGGCCCAGCCAGGACCACGGCGTTCAGGCCGACTTCGGAGGCCGCCTGACTTCTTCGTCCCCGCTGCCTTCACCACGGTGTACGACGTGGACGATGATGACGACGGCCTGCTGTACGACGACGCCGAGGAGGATGAGGGGTTTCCGGAGCTCGACCCTGACATGCTAGCCGACCCCGAGCACCGTTGGGACATCTCCACGATGACGGTGAAGGAGGCGTTGGCAAGCTGGAAGGGCCCGGCAGTGAAGGCCGCCATGGAAGAGGAAATCCGCAGCCTCATCAACATGGGCACGTGGGAGCTGGTCGAGCGCCCGCCGGGAGTGAACATCATGAAGAACCGGTGGGTATTGACGACGAAGTACCACATCGACGACACCGTCGAGCGAGAGAAGGCGAGGCTGGTCGTGAAGGGCTTCACGCAGGTGTACGACGCCGACTACGACGAGACGTTTGCGCCGGTGGGCAGCTATGTCACGCTGAGGATCTTCCTCAGCATCGTCGCCGTCCTCAACCTCAACCTGATGCAGCTCGACATGAAGGACGCCTTCCTGCAAAGCAAGCTCGACCGGGTGCTCTACATGACCCAGCCGGACTACTTCAACGACGGAACCGGCCGGGTGTGCAAGCTGCTGAAGAGCCTGTACGGGCTGAAGCAGTCGCCGCTGCTGTGGTACTTGGCGCTCAACGATGTGCTGGTCGGCGCCGGGTGGAAGAAGAGCCAGGTCGACGAGGCTCTGTACTTCAAGGTCGGCGACGACGGAGTGGCCTGCTGGGCGCTGGTCTACGTCGACGACCTGCTCGCCGCCAGCAGCAGCGCCGCGATGCTGGAGGAGCTGAAGGAGCTGCTGGAAGCCGCCTTCGAGTTGCGTGAGATCTCAACGGTGCAGAAGTACCTCGGGCTGGAGATCGTCCGCGATAGGTCGGCGGGGAAGCTGTGGCTGCACCAGCAGGGCTACGCCGACAAGCTGCGTAGGCGCTTCCTCGACGAGGAGCAAACCAGGCGCACCCCTAAGACGCTGGTCTCGGTCGACGCCTACGCCGAGCTCACCTTCGACGACGAGGAGGCGCAGGAACGCCGGGAGGGGGAGTACCGGCAGAAGGTCGGCTCGCTGCAGTTCGCGGCGACGACGACGAGGCCAGACATCGCCTTTGCCTGCAGCAAGCTGGGGAGCGGCCTCACGGTGAGGAGCGACCAGCACTGGCGCGAGGTCGACCGCTGCCTCGCCTACCTCGCCAACATGCGTGACACCGTCCTGGAGTTCGGCGGTGGACCTGAGTCGCTGGAGCTAGTCAGCTACGTGGACGCCGACGACGCCGGCGACAAGCAGAACAGGACGAGCACGGGCGGCTACGTGTTCGTCTACGGAGGGGCCGCGGTCTCCTGGTCGAGCCAACGCATCAAGTGCGCGACGCTGTCGTCGACCGAGTCGGAGTACGTTGCGGCCACCGAAGCCGGCAAGGAGAGACGCCGACTTCGCTTCCTTCTCGCGGAGTTCCGGCAGCTGGACACCGGGAAGCCGACTTTCTTGAGGGTGGACAACAAGTCGGCCATCAAGGTCGCCGAGGGCATGGGGTTGACGAGCAACCTCAAGCACATGGAGCGGCGACAGGCCTGGCTGCAGCACATGGTGAAGCGCGGGAAGTTCTCGCTGAGGTACATCCCGACCATCGAGCAGCCGGCTGACTTCCTCACAAAGGCGCTGCACTACCCGACCTTCAACCTAGGGTTCAAAAAAACGACCGTTTTATTGAAATTTTACCGTAAAAAACGGTACCGTAAAAAACGGTCGTAAAAAACGGTTTAAAACGGTTCCAGGAGGTGTTTCCTCTATAACTAACAAAACGGCCACTTAGTGGGACCAAATTGAACCTGAAATGCAGCAGCATGAAAGGGATGGACCCCTTCTTGCATGTATGCACTTGTTGGCATGATTGAAAATGTTTTTGACCTTGTTTTTCTCTTTTTTTTTCTTGGTGAACTGAGTTCTCTAACAAAAAAACGGCCGTTTTTTTTTTAAATCACCGTAAAAAACGACCGTAAAAAACGGACCGTATTTTACGAAAACCGTAATTTTGAACCTTGCTTCAACCGGTGCTCCGTCGCAATCGGCCAGGTGCGCTTGGCCGACGAGGGCGACGGCGACAACGACGTGCAGCAGTAGGTGCCATGCCCTATTGCATGGCTGGTGCGGTGACCGGCGTGCTGTGTGTTGGGTGCACGTCGACGGGCTATTCTCGGAGCTGTACTGCCGTGTGGGCTGGGGGCTCAAGCGTGAACGCGGCAGGGGAGTGTCAACGGGAGTGTTGTTTGGCCCCGTCCTCGCTTGGGCGGAGCCGACCTCGTGGTCGGATGTGCGGGGGTTGCAGCCGACCTGCAGCAGTGGGCACGGGGGCCACTGCAAGGGCGTCGAGCAGAAGGGCGCTTGGCTGGAGGGCACTGAGCAGGAGGACGCCGTCCTGGACGCCTGGTTGGCGTCGTGGACGCTTGGACGGCGTCCTGGGAAGGTGGACGTCGACCTGGGCGTCGGCACGACTACCCGGGCGCCTGGTCGGCGTCGTGGGCGCCTGCACAGCGTCCTGGAAGGCCAGACGCCAACCTAGGCGTCTGCACCGCGTCCTAGGAGCCAGGGACGCCGCCCTGGGCGTCTGCACGGCGTCCTGGGGGCCGGGCCGCCGTCCTGAGCGTCCTGGGGGCCCGGACGCCGACCTGGGCTTCTGGTCGACATCCCGGGAGGCTGGACGCCGCTCAGGAGGTCTGCAAGGCGTCCTGGGCGTCAGGACGCCGACCTGGGGGTTCGGACGGTGTCCTGGGCGCCTTGACGCCGGACTGGGGACGCCGGGCATAGGTGGCCGGCTACGGACTGCGCTGGTCGACCAGGCGTGGTTGCCCGATCGACCGGGATACCCGGGCGACGTGCGCGAGTGTCGCCGGGGGTGGAGTCTGCGAGGCCGACCTCGGGGGTGGTATCCCGAGGTCGACGTGGCTGGTGGGCGCGGTCGCTGGCGTGGAGTCTGCCAGGCATCTGCGCTGTGCTCGTGACAAGGTGTGGAGCGCCAACCAGCTGCGCGCACCTGCGAAGCAGGTGCACCGTTGTCCTGCGGATGCAACGCTGTGCAGCCGACTTGCTGCAGCGTTGGCACACCGTGGACTTGCAACGTTGGCACACCGCTACTCTGCAACGCTGGAGCGGTGCGAGCGCTGCTGCGCTGGAGCGCGGTCGACCATGCTGCGCTGGAGGTCGACCAGCAGCCTAGGTAGCGCTGATGTAGTCTGTGATGCCAATGTTGTTGCTACCATTGTTGTCAATCTTTGCTAGTGAAACTCTTGCAAAATCTCCCCGTGAATGTGCAAGCAGAGAACACACAAAGCAAACGACCAAGGAACGCAGAGATCACACGAGCACTCGTGCCTAGCCCGTAGTCTAGCTCCCGTTGCAGCAGTTATCTCCGCAGTCAAGGCACACGCGCAGCCTGAAGCCGCGATTCAATTCTCTGCCACACGCGCGAGTGTGGCAGTGAGGTGGCGCGTGGGACAGGACAAGCGTGCGTGGGTCCACAATTGCATTTGTGGGACCCTCGAGCGTTTTGTCTTCATTCTCCGAGAAGAAAACATCACCAGGGTGTTTCGCGACGTGCGCATTTCAATTCGAAGTTGGGCGAACCAGTGCGAGAAGGAATTTGGCGAATTCGTAATTCCGTCAGTAACTACGCGAATTCTCAGGTGTTTTCATGAGCTGTCACGGCCACGAATCTCCACGAGTTTCCACGAGCTTCCACGAACAAGTATGGCCCACATAAACGTTCATGGGCGAGTATGTTGCCACTGATTTCGCGTGGAGAAAGTTGGCATTCTGGAGTATGGTGCTAACTATCATTTCGGTGGGCTGTTTGCTTTTGCTTTTGGTGGGTTGGTATAAATCTTTGCTTGTGTGTTAAGATCGATGTCATCTTGCTTTTATTATTGGAATTCTACTACTGAGTATTGACGAGAGTAGAAATGATACTGTGGTGATTGCCGAAACGCTGCTCGACCAGTTCATTCGTCCTACAGCCTGAACGAGGCATAACTACTCCCTGTAATTTTCTACGCCCTTGGCTAGGAGGTGACAAGTTGTCACACTCGGAGGGCTTCAAGGGAAGTTAAGTGTTGCTAAGTTTAGGCTTGTAGCAAGATTCTGAACACTTCCGCATAGGCTCTAGCTGTTAACATATAGTTGCACCACATTGTCCACAAGTGATTGCAAAATCTAACACAGAATATGTTGACGTGTACTGAACTGAGCCTGCTCGAGTAGAGAAGGCTAAGAAAGGCTGGCTCTAGCGAGGGTACACATTCATCATGCAAGTTTTGGGTGAATCTTTGTTGGGGGTTGACAAAGTAAAGATGGCAGGCGAACTAAACGAACAAGTGTCTGGCAAACACACGCGATGAAAAAGCGTCTGGCAAACTGGAGGCAAGTGATAACCCTTTGTCCCAGCCCAATTGAATGCGTACTTTCGCGCTCATAATGATGCCAGGTTGTTGCTGCTAGGCTGGAGTAATAGGCTTCCAAAAACATGTTGGGCTTACACCGGTGTTGAATTGATCTTAACCCTGATTGTAGTTAGATTGGAGCCCTTCGAAATGCTCACAACCATTGTTAGATTCCATGCTCACGAATGCTGGTCAGCCCACCAGTTATTGGATACCCCAATGATCGTTTCGAATATTGGTCAAACCTGAGCCCCAATGGGATTGATTCACCTTTGATCCCCTATGAAAAAACTTCATTTCTTTTGAAAAGTCCACGCTTTGCATCCTAAGTAGCAGGTGGAGAGGTTGTGCAAAAGCCGCTCACATGTACTGCATATTGAGGAGGTTGACAACGGATGTTGGCAGTGAGCCTGTTAGATTGGTGGTTCCAATGCTCCTGAATACCAAACAGTAACAAAGATGTATGCAGAAATGTTGGAAACAAACGGAAGGAACACTTAGACACTAAAGATAGTGTGAGGCAATGAAATGAGGGATTCGAAGTACCAATGTACGCAGGATGGTATATTTGCACAGGCAGGGCATGGCAAGGCATGGCATGGCAAAGAATGGCAGGGCATGGCATGGCAGGGCATGGCATGGCATGACTCGCCAAGGCCTGGGCATGGCAAGCCAAAAGCAAGGTATGGCATAGAAATGAATGACAGGTCATGGCATGGCATGGCACCAGCGAGAAGCTTGTGTGGCAAGTTGCACAAGCAGACACACCAGCCAGGGAAGCCCCATTCTGCTGCAGTCTAGCAGCGGCTGCTTCTCCCACATGGCAGTTGTAGCTTCAACGTCTGGATTGGCAGACTAGCCAACCAGATTTGAGCCATCAAGTGCAAAACTGTTACTCACAGCAATATCAGGCGCTGCAACTCGCTGAAAAAGGTTGGAAAGTTTCTTGAGAGCGACCTGACATGGATCGGTGGAGTGAGGATCGCAGGGTTGAAGGGTTGAAAAAATATCAAGAAGGAACTGAGAGACTGGAGAAAGGACAGGCTTGAACTTGAGCTGTTGTCAAGTTATCAGGGAAGTAAAGAAAGGGTGTGAACGTCGAGGCAAAAAGACACCATTGATCTGATTTGTGCAAAGAACAAGTCAGCTTTGTCTCACAAAACGAATGCTTGGATCCAGAAGTTTCAACTCAGGTGTGTCAACATACATAAGAAAACCACTGGGTGCTGATACTGGTGCCAAATGCAATTTGCAAGTCTTGCAGGTCTGAGCCACACCTTTGTCTTGCGGTCCATCACCCGAAATAGCAACACAAGGTACTGGTGGAAACTCGCTGTTGAGAGACTCAAGAACAGTCTACCAATTGAATGGGAAGGCTGGAATTCCGATTGCAGGATCCCAACCAACGGCCCATCCCCCCCAAGTGCAACACTTTCATGTCAGGGGCTTACAATATAGTCAGCTTTTGAAGATTTCTTAATGTAGTTGGTATCGAGCCGTTCATTATGTTTGTGCTGAGTGCTCTGCAGAACATACAGTGGTGAAGAGAAGTGAGAAAGCAAGAGGTGACATCAGGTGCAGCTGGAAGGCAGGATCAGAGAGAAAAGTTGGAAGGCAAGCAAGTCGCGTTTCGGTTGAAAAGAAAGAAAGAAAGAAAGAAAGAAAGAAAGAAAGGGAAAAAAAAAAAACAAAAAAACAAAACAAAACAAAACATACGCCTTACAAGAGCCCCAGATTTCGAAGGTTGCCAACTGTTGCGGGTATCGAGCCAGTCAAGTTGTTTCTCATGAGCGCACTGCCACATCTCACCAAATGTAAAACGGGCAACGGCAGGACCAGGAGCAGTGCAATGGTCGAGCCAGGTCCGATTCGGGACGAACCAGGCGGCATGGCTCGACCTCGGTTAGGTCGAGCCAAAACATTGGCACAGGCCTCAGCTAGCCACCACAACAAGCGGGCTCACACACAACCACACCACAGGGATGATGACCAATAGGAATCGTGGGAATAGTGGGCAGCAGGTTCAGCACATCCAGTCTTGATATTGAACTGCAACGGACTGGTTCAGGGGCTGAATGACTCTATGGCTATGCCCACAAGAACCCCTGTGACTCGAAGTGAATCTGCCACGTAAGCTGAAACTGCGACTTAAACTGAAATCGCAACTTAAAGTCAAATCTACGACTCAATGTGAAACTGCAGAACAAATCAAATCTGCATCTCAAAATAAATCACCCAGATTTCGCACAAGAGCGAATGGGCTACTACGCCTGAATACACCTCGTAAGTCCTACTGTCCTACCGACCGCTTGCATGTGCGGATCGGGAACAAAGATCTTGATGCTATGTACTGTTGACTAAGCACGGTGCTTGCTTCCTATAATACTGAGAGTACACTCATGTTAGTCAAGCGGCCTATTCTTGACGGAATAAATTCGAAAACGCATTCCCAATCAAGCCCCTGAAAGACAGATTTTCGAAGAGTGTAATGACACAAGGGAGTGAGGGAGGCATGGGAGGGTGGGAATGATGCAATGCATGCGATGAGCAAAAAAACAACCTGATCCAGTGGCCATGTTATGCCACCACAAAAACAAAAACAACATTTTGATGAACTTTGCTCGGATGAACGTTGGTGAACTTTGCTTGCTCGGGTTTGACATTGGGCCACACAAGGCAGGCTATGTTAGGATTGGCGAGGCTCACAGGTAGGTGAGTTGCAGAAGGTTTCCAATGGAGGCTGGTAAGGAACCACTCATTCTGTTGTCAATCAGATTTCTGGGGAGCATCCTTTGAGCACCGGTCAATACCACTGTAACACTAATTACATGCTTCTATACTGGCATTGCAACAACCCCTTATATTTATATTGAGTTATTGCCAACCAGATTCGGATGCATTGGTCTAATTGCAAATGCTTACCACCTGATGGATCCCAGTCTTACTTATAATCTTCTGTATCATCACCCACCACATAATCACGATTATAGTACAAACACAGAGGTCAGCCAAAATGCCATAATACTCTCGCATTATATTCATCCAGGCATTGAAATACTCACAAATGAGTACTTTCCATCGTACAACTCTACTTATCTTCTTTTCTGTATCAATACAAACCGTAAAATGATACTATAGGCGTGCATGTAACAACATATATCCATGTACATTTCTCGATGTATGTACACATGTATATATAGAAATATCTCTGTACATGTGTACATGCATATACTAGTGGATTTTAACACAAATTCTTCTGGGACCATCCACACACATTCTTGTGGCCAAAAAGGCACGATACTCACATCCTCACGAGGCTGGTCAGGGTACCAATAGAGGATGGAATTGGTCCGGTAAAGTTGTTTATCGCTAGGTGCCTGGCCATGCACAGAATAAAAGACCGCAGTGGGAGTGCATTGACGGGCAGCGAGGAGGAACAGAGGAAGGGAATGGTGGGTGGTTGACGATGTGTGTATGGACAAGATGGGGGATGTTGAGTGGATGGAGGGAAATCGTGCACATGAATGGGGATCGCTACGACAGGCTGAAACAGCCACATGAGGACACAAACGGAAAGCCAAAGAGATTCATGTGTTATGCGTGTATGTATTGTGAAGTTTATTGAAAGCAAAAGAGCATGGAAAATTGGAACGGACAATGTAACAAGAAGCTCCATTGGATGATGCTCATCCTCCGCAGTGCAAAGCCTCACATATTTGTCAACCTCTGAAGTGTGGAGTCAATTTTGGAAACTATCGAAAATGACCTAATATGGTTTGATGCTCATGCCCCTCCAAAAAAAGCTCACAAACTTGTCAGTCTTTGAAGTTTCGCCAGCGATGTTGGTAACGATCCACTCAGCCGATTCCCCCTTAGAAATCTGGAACAAACAAACAAGCAGGGATGTTGAAAAAGTGGTAATGCCAGGGTTGTAAGGTGCGTGGAAGGGCATGAGATAACCGTGAGTGAAGACAAACACATAGACAAACAGCATCAAGACTCAATTCAAGCCTTCGCATCCACATCTACACAACATGGTGAGCAATGGATTAGGATCACACAAGGCATGCTGCTCTTCCAAGGATGTGAAGAATTACGGAAGGAATTTCAAAGAGGCGTCATTGCCGTTGGATCTTTGCGTATGGCATGCTGCTGTGCCACAACACAACAACATGCTGGATAAATATTGTAGCCATCCACCGCAAAAGGGTCCTGAGGAAATTATCACTTAGCTCCACAACATCCCGCACAATCGCCTCTCCTCCTCAACAGTCGTCTTTGTGTTTGATGATACCAGAGAAGAGAAGAACCACATTCAATCAGCTTGCGACAGCTACTACCAGGCAACGTGCCGTATAACATGGGATTGTGAATGCATGGGGAAAAACGTACCGGTATAGATAGTCGGCTCAAAACATGCAGGTATCGTAGGTAAATCAAGTTTTGAGTCGTTTCAAATAGTACAGGGATCTTAGTTGGATCAAGTTTTAAGTTGACTCAAAACGTTCAGGAATCTCAGGTGGATCAAGTTATGAGCGAATTAGTTTGAGCAGCAGCAGCGAATGAATATCACTCACAGGTGTTTTTGGTGGGTCAACTTGCCAACAGAAGCTGAAAGGAACAAGTTGGTTCTTAAGAATTCTCAAACAACAACTTGTCTCATTGAACATGGGAGTGTAGTGAAAACATGGTGAAACTGAAACTATTCAAAGTGGGTCGGGTTTTGAGTCAACTCAAAACGTACAGGTATGTTAGGTGGATCAAGTTGCCTACAGAAGCTGAAAGGGATCCTTCAATTTGAGTGCCGCATATTGCCCTGACACAGAGTAACACAATGCACAGGTTAAAAAATAAGTCTCAAGGGGAAGAAATTGAACAGACCAACACAGAAGCTTATAACAAGGCTTCGTTGCCATGCCACGAGCTTCAATGACATTTGAGTCGACTCAAAAGTCACCTGCTACTAGCTTCTGTGGCAGCAAAACGAGTTCTTTCACACTGCTCACTACAGGGTTGAGCTGGGTTTAAACATTAGAATATCTTCCCTTGTGAAAACTGTGAAAATTATGACAGCTAATGAAGTCGCGGGCCAATACAAGTGCGATCGGCACAGCCCCCTACGGAATGGCGATTCAGAGTCTTGAGCGCTGCCGATGTGCATGTCCACTGACAGGTATTCGAGGCTTATCATGCTGTAGATGGCAGATGGAATTGACCCATTGAATGGGTTGAAACCCAAGTTCCTGGCAGGAAGCAATATGCACACCATGGTAATCGGAAGGAGAGAGAAGGGATGTTAATATCTCTGCTAAGGATTCGCACAGACCTTCAATCTGAAGTTCATGCTTGTGACGGATCGGTATCAAAAGCAGGTGAATCCAACCACATCTCCTGTAACGCGACAATATTGTAAGGTGGTGGTGGAGTTATCACATATGCGGAACAACAGGCCTCCTTGCGGTCAGACGCTCACAGCCATTTCACGCGCTGAAGCTTGGATATTGAGGCTGGGATTTGACCATCTAGCTTGTTGCGATAGATCTCTCTGCAACGCGATACAAAAAATCCCGGAAGCGCGCGCACGCGCGCACACACCCACACACTCACACACACACACACTCTCACACACACACAGACACACACACACACACACATACACACACACACACACACGCACGCACGCACACACACACACTACGTGGGTGGGCCCAAGGGGTACACATGAACAACAAGTTCAGCATTGATTAGTCTTAGGGTTGAGCAATGTACCGGACAAACTGCAGTCTTTAGCCCTGTCTTGTTGTGCATTCGCATGCATAGAACAGCAATGTCAATTGGCAACAATGGCATGGATGGATGGATAGATGGAGGGATGGACGGACGGACGGACGGACGGACGGACGGACGGACGGACGGACGGACGGACGGACGGACGGACCGACGGACCGACGGACCGACGGACGGACGGACGGACGGACGGACGGACCGACGGACCGACGGACCGACGGACCGACCGACCGACCGATGGATGGATGGTTGGATGGATGGATGGGTGGATGGACGGACGGACGGACGGACGGACGGACGGACGGACGGACGGACGGACGGACGGGCGGGCGGGCGGGCGGGCGGGCGGGCGGGCGGGCGGGCGGGCGGGCGGGCGGGCGGGCGGGCGGGCGGACGGACGGACGGACGGACGGACGGACGGACGGACGGACGGACGGACGGACGGACGGACGGACGGACGGACGGACGGACGGATGGATGGATGGATGGATGGATGGATGATTGGATGGATGGATGGACGGATGGATGGATGGATGGATCAACGCCCAACATGGTATGGTGATGCAAACTGCCATGCCATGTACTAACAGCTTTGTGAGGCTGCTGAAAGCGCTGGTTGACATTGGGAATGGACCCGTTATGTTGCTCATGCTTAGATCTCTGACAGAGCATGGGATGGAGGAAGTAGAGATCAAATCAGCGATTGCCAGAGGACCGGTGTCAAGCTACTGAGTGACTCATGAATTAGGTGGTTATGTTCAGGCTGGCTCAGAGCTTATCAGATCGACACAGCAAATTCAGCACAGACGTTACAGCTTCTGTTCTGTGAAGTTGGAGGAACAAAGACACGCAAAAAACAAGACAAACGGGAGTCTGATCAGAATGGGGTGGGGGAAGGTGTGGGCGGGAGGAAGGGAGGGAGAGGAAGCGGAAGAGAGAGATAGTAGGGAGTGAATAGGAGAGATAGGAAGGGGTTGGCCATACCGAGGAACTGAGAGAGGGAAGGAA